TGTTGTTTTTTTATTTGGGATGTAAAGAATTAAATGAAGACGAAATGCTTAAAGGGAAACACGGATCCAAACAGGTTGGGAACCACAGTCCTACAGTTACCTGTCCTGTCGGGCGGCGTGCGGAAAGATTCGGAGGATCTCCTGGTGCAGCAGCGCCTCCTGCTGGAGTCCCGTCAGCTCCTCCCTCAGCTTCACCTCCAGACTGTAGCCCTGGCCGAATTTGGCCTTTAGATGCTGGATGGTGCCGATGCATCTGATTGGACAGAAACAGTTAAGCTGCAGGAACCTGGAGGCCAGAAGTCCTCTGGAATCTGGTGGGAAAATCCCGAAGGAGAAAAAACCTGAGCTGGCCGGAGACCATGATGGCAACGCGGTCGCACACGGCCTCAGCCTCCTCCATGTAGTGTGTGGTGAGGATAGCTCCTCGCTGGTGGTTCCTGAATGCAGCACGCATGGCCCTCCTGCACAGAGACACGCTGTCCTTCATGCATGTTTTCAAACCAAAGGTTGTTTAGCAGGTCTCCAGCAGAGCCATCACAGAGCAGAGGGACGTCTGAGGCTCACCACATCCGCTGCTTGGACTTGGGATCCATTCCTGACGACGGCTCGTCCAGCAGGACAATCTGCGGGTTTCCGATCATGCTCAGAGCGAAGCACAGCTGGAAGCACATGGAGCAGGGCTGCAGGAGCGGCTCTAACACCAAGCATGGATCTGATCATCAGAGCTCTTCTCACCTTCCGTTTCAGTCCTGCAGAGAGACTCTTTGCCGGTTTATCTAGATGCTCCTTCAGCTCCAACGCATTAGACACTCTGGGGGAAAAAATAAAGAAATGATGTTGATTTTTCACCAAAGCATTCAACATCGTAATAAAAACATGCAGCTAATTAACAGATGTTTTAGTTTCTCTTTGGAAATGATTTTACTCCTAGGAGGTTGCAGAGCCGCTGCAGGTTCAGGGTTCCTGCAGCATAAAGTTCAATTCAAGACTTTAACGCTTTATATATGGAGTCAGAATATGCAGAAGTTAGGCCGCCGTTGGACAGAAGCTCTGGACTCGTTATGAATTCTCCCAGAATAGAGTTCAGCGTCTGCAAAGGTTTGAGGAGATTCAGGGACGTCAGGCAGACGCTGGAGAAATCAGCTCGGTGTGACAGGAGCTTAACCAGTCAAACATTTAAAGGTTAATGTAGATTCATTAAATAAAGTTAGTTAATTTAGTAATTAATTAAATTTTATCTAAAAGAGCAACATATTTTTATCTAGAGTTAGACTGAACACAAAGAAAACAACTAAAAGAAAACAGCACAAAATTTCATGAGTGTAGCCTTGCAGTGGCGTCGGCAGTGCTAAACAATATCTTCATCTAGATTCTAACTACTTTCTACCCGCTGATCACAGCTAATATAGCCGCCATTGTTCCAGGCAGAGAAAGGATAGAGTAGCTCCGCCCACTGCGCATCAGACCCACTTTACCACCGCGCAGCCAGAGCAGCAAAGATGCTTCAGCCGCGCGTCAGAACTAAACTGGTAGAAGCATCAAAATGAAGCAGTGTTTGCGCGTTTCTGCTGCTCCTGCTGCGTACGGTGTGAACGTAGCTTTAGACATGAGAATCCAGCGAATGCAGCGTTTACTGCGTTTTTTCCACGGATCATCTCCAGTTTTATAGACTGACAGCCGGAGAAAAATGAAACGTGTTAGTTCAGCTTTGCATATCTGCTGCACGCTAACATTAGCTTAGCATCATTATCATAAATAAGCCAGTCTCTTCTACAGCCGTCTCCATAAAGGTTCTGTTTTTCCTGGGGGCTCCTCCTCCTTATAGAAGGCCTGGATGCTCCAACTATAAACTATATAAAGTTGCTGTTGAATGACAGGGTGTTGGGGGCGGGCTCTCTGTACCTATCGACGTGTGAGAGACGAAGGGACCAGAGAGCAGGGAGCAGCAGGGCGAGGATTTCGCTCCAGTTCGCTCACAACGTCAATTAAAAATGTTGATTATAACATTTTTAAAATAACATTTTATTTGATTTAAGTGTGATTTGTTGGACATGTTTGACTGCAGGTGCCAGCAGTGCTGAATGTGACGATGACTGCGCAGTCGCAGATGGAAGTGGATGCGTTTACAGCCAATGCAGAAACCTGATCCATTAGAGATGCTCTATAGATCTATAGATCTACTTCAGCTGGAGATAAACGATGCCGAGGCGAGGATTACATATTGTGGGATAAAATATCATAAAAACATAAACTATACTGAACAATGAATGGGTTTAAATAAAGTGAAGGTTGTTGGTAAGAGCTTGTTTTATAAAATGGATCGCATACATGCTTTATAACTATTATCTCATTTGCAATGAGATGAGAAGTGATTAATATTAATGCCAGTTAAATAAGACGATCCACGTGTTTCGGTCACATCAGTAAATCAAACGCCATGTGTCGCAGCGCCCCGACAGGAAGGAAAAAGGTCAGAAAACGCCTTCTGCTGAACGTCAGAGTGAGCGTGGAGCGACTTCGCCGCAGCGGCAGGAAAATTAAAGTGAGCGCGGAACGGATTTGGAGCGAAGCGTCCTGGAAAAACTCTGAGCGGCGGAGCGAAGCGAACATCCTGCTGAGCGGGGAGCGGGAAATTTGTTCACATGCTATGGAAGGGACAGATGGGAGACTTACCAAAATAAAAGAAGAACGGACGCGACTGAAGCGCAGCTGTCGTTCAAACAGTTACACGCCTCATGGCGAACGGCGCTCTGGCGTTACCTCGCCAGGTAAAACATTTAGTGATTGTTAATTAAAGACCCTGGTTACAGCGAGCTGTTCGTTAAATTAAAACAATATTTTAATGTTGGATATGGATTACAAAATTAAAATCCTATTTATGAAACAATTTAAAGACCTTTGAAAGACTGATTTCAGACATTTTAATACTAATTAAGACTTTCTATTGAAGATTTAAAGCTTTTTAAGGATCTGAGTGTGATGCTTCGGTCTGAGCGGCGGTGGCGGAGCTGATGACTGACCGTTTGATGATGCCCGGGACCTCGTGGCCCTTCAGCCCTTTAATGGCGGCGTAGATCTCCAGGTGTTCCTGCAGGGTGATCCGGGGCCACAGAGGGTTGACCTGGGGACAGTAGCCAACATGGTCCAGAGGATCGTCCAGCGGACTGAAGTCGGTGCTGTAGTCTCCCATCAGGATCTGGACCCAGAGAGAAGACGTTAGCTTTCAGCTGCTTCAGGCCTTTTCTAACGTCCAGGCGGAGTCTCAGCGCACCCGGCCGGCCGTGGGGTCCGTGTCGCCTGACAGCATGTGCATGACCGTGGTCTTCCCTGCTCCGTTGGGGCCCAGCAGTCCCAGAACTTCCCCTGAGGAGAACAGCAGCAGGTTGCTGGTTTGAACGCAGCCCACAGCGAAAGGTGTTTTCTCATGAGCGTACCTTTGCCAACACAGAAGGAGACGTTCTTAGTGGCCACTTTAGTCTTCTTGGTGAGAGAGAAGCCTTCTTTCTGGCACTGGAACTCCTTTCTCAGGTTACTAACGACCACCATCGGTTTCTGGAAGACGGGAATTATTCACTCCTTCATTTTCAACCTGTCAGCTCTTATTTTGAAGGACCTCACCTCCTCGCAGGCCTGACAGGTTAGCGCCTCCTTCACTCTGGCCTTCTCCATGCGAACGTCCTCATCCTCGTTGAGCCCTTCCTCTGAGCCGCGCTCCGGTTTGGGCTTCGGCCGCGATGAGATCCTGTCAAAGTTCAGGAGTGAACATCAGCGTTCTGACGCTTAAAGCGACGGAGCGGGGAATGTGATGACCACCTGCACAGCTGGTCGCTCTTCATCGCCCGCCCTCCGTACCGCACCTCCAGCCAGCGCAGCAGGAACAGCAGGACGATGCACTGCAGGTAGGGCTGAGAACAAACAGAAGCAGTGCTGAAAGGCGTCTCTACCTGTTCACACCTCAGAGACCAGAGAAGGAAAGACTTACAGCCACAACGGAAATCAGCAGACTTTTCCACAGGAAGTTCTCCTCATACAGAATGGGAAGGAACGTTGCCTGGAAAAGGAAAAGTCCAGCAATGAAGCAAACCTGCTAAATGGGATTTTCTTTTTTTTTTTGCATCCAGACGTTAATTAAGGCCCCAGCAAATGAGATCTTTAGGAAAACGTTATATTCCTGATCATTCCAATCATCTCTGCTCAGATTAAAACAGGTTTCCATCAGATTTGTCAAAGGAAATAAAGCTTCTAGTTAGAGTGGCTCAGGTTATCCTGATCTATCTCTATAGTTCTGCTGCTATAGGCTTAGACTGCTGGAGGACATAGGGACCCCTTTTTCATCATTCTGCTTCATTCTATCTCTATTCTCCCACTCTGCAGAATCTGTTAGTTCAATCTCTAACGTTCTGCTCTCTCTGCTTTTTCTCATAGTAGCTTCATCTGGTCTGTTCCTGTTTGGCTGTGACTCCATCCTGGAGAGAAATATCAGCTGTGCTGCTGCCATCAACACCTTTGTTTCTAGATGTTGGAGCTTGGCCTGTTTTCCAGTGTAGTCCTGTTTCTCTGACTGTGACTAACTGGATGTGCTCTCTTCATCCTCTGACATGGGAGCTGGCTCGGAGCTCGTCTGCCTGGCTGTGTGTTTCCTGGACGGGGCCGCCTGTGGAGCTGGTTGACGGTTGCCTTTTGTATCTATGCTTCTTTTTCTATGTCTGCTTCTGTCTCCTTGAACCCCAGTGGGCCTCAGCAGATGGCCGCTCACACTGAGCCTGGTTCTGCTGGAGGTTTCTTCCTGTTCAAAGGGAGTTTTTCCTCTCCACTGTCGCTACAAGCATGCTTAGTGTGAGGGATTGCTGAAGAGTCAATGAGTCGATGCAATCAGCTGGTTTTCCTTAGATAGAAAACTTTGAATCAATCTGACTGGTTGATCTGGTGAACTGGAAAGTGACCTGAGATGACATGATGTGAATTGGAGCTATAGAAATAAACTGAATAGAAATGAAATGATTAATCAAGGTCTCTACTCTGACCCCGCCCCTCACATGGCTGATTTGTAATGTTTCAGCAAAGACGGCGGCCATGTTTTCCGCTCCCACCTTGGTGATGCAGCTGAGGCAGCCCATCAGAGGGTAGAGGGGGATCAACAGGCACAGGACGTTGTGCAGCGATCTGGCCATTTCAGGGAGTTCCACCAGAAAGAACAGCTGGACGATGGAGGCCGACACCACGCACACCTGAGGCAGAAACCATCCGCTAACACACAGCAGCAGGGAGGAGGAGCCAACATTCCTGTTCTTCTAGCCTCACCATCATGGAGATGAACGAGAAGAAGTCTCTGTTGCTCTGAACTCGTGCGAACACGAAGGAAACCACGTAGGTGAAGAGGATCATGGCCGGGCCGAAGCCAATGGTGCAGAGGACCTGAGAGAGAGGAAGGGGTTAATCACTCCTCCTGCATGGGGAGCAGGGTCAGATGGTACTGATGCCGGCGGCACCGACCACGGCTGTGAGGTTGCTGGTTGTGGGCAGGTTTGCAGAGTGGAAGGAGAAGAGGATGAGGTTCATGGAGGACAGGATGAGGTAGTAGAAGGGGACGTCCACGGCCGCCTGGCCGCACCAGTAGGCCGAGGGCAGCAGGCCGGAGATCCGCAGCGTTGAGCGGCACTTTATCTGAGGGGAGGACAAATGAAGGCTGTGCAGAAACAGAAAGGCTGAAACATTTCAGAGCTTCTGGAGGAACCAGCAGAGGGCAGCGCTGAGTCACTGAAAAACAGCAGAACTTCAACCTCTGCTGGGTTATGCTACGTTCACACCAAACGCACTTTCAGCATCAATAAAGCTTCTGCTGCTTCATCTCTGATCCTCACTAAGGTCAGACGTCCAGTAAAATGAGTCCAGATGCTTCTGCTGCTCCTGTGTTCGATGCCAGAGAGCAGCTTTGCTATATTAGCTGTGATCAGCGGGTAGAAAGTAGTTAGAATCTATG